TAAAAAACTGAAGCATTAATTTTTTTTGAAGTCGTAATTGCTATCTAAACCCACTCTGGAAGAGCCATCCAGCATCGAGAAATTCTGTGGCCTTGGCCGCATTGAAATACTTTCAGAATATTTGGCCATCTGTCTAATGCAATGAACAACTCTCAATTGGCATTGACAGCCTTCGTTCGAGACCCATAAAGGACTACAACGACAGCGAGCTTTAAGGCCAAACATCCAAAGGGTTATAGGGTGTAAAATGTAAAAATTAAACAGGCTAGAAAGGCGGAGAAAAGGCCGACAAGCAGTAAACTTTCAGTAGTTCGAGCCCCACACCCGGCGATTGGTATAAAATGGCTCTTGGAAAGATATTTCACATGAGGATTACTGATTTTTTTTTTTAATAAAGATAGAAAAAGTAGCTTGCTGGAGCAGTGTCACAATCGTCTTTTTTTTCGAAATTCGGTATATAACGCGCCACGCTATTGTGAAATAAAGTTTCAAACGACTTGTCTGATATCCCACTCTACCAAAACTGTCACAAAAATCAAAATTTCTCTCTTATTCAACCTTCATCCTTGTTGCATATGTACTTTACACAACCTCGTATCCTATTTGACAGTTATCATCACAGTTGTTGGGTATGAATTGGTTTATGTTGTTCCTATTAGTGCAGTGATGTTATGATTGTATTATGTAATTCGTGTGACATCCTCATTATCAACTATGCTCAGCGTCGCTGTCACTCCACTACATTCGGTTAAGCAGCTCGCGTTTACTTTATGGCCTGCGTATGAAGTTCCATAGTACGCATTCCTCTTGTAATTCAATTTACCGGGTAGCATGAAATGTGCGTTCTAAAGACTCGCATACGTACATACGTGTGTACGTATGTTTAGTTCCTCCCTACTGTTCGCACCACCCCTATTCGGCGGTTGCATACAACTAGAAATTTTTACCTTATCGTACCCTCTTACCCCTGCGTAAATACTCGTATATTGCAAATGTTATCCTTATGTGCTCTTCTCGGTGCCTCTTCGGGTATCCAGACTTGTTAAAGTTGTTGGTTTTTCCCTCTTGTCTGCTACTCTTGATCTCGTAGAAATCATTTGCTTTACACGCTTGTCAACGACTTTGATTTTTTCTAGTTAGACACGAGAATTTTTTTTACTAGTGTTTCTGTTTTTTTTTTGTGGATTTTAAGCTGTTTTGTAAATTGATACATATATTTGAAATGTGCATACGTTGATATTTATAATTTATGCAACGGGTGGCTTAACATGTTGATTTTAATGCAGCAAAAGGTTACCGCTTCTTAATTTTTTAAAGAAAATTTTGGCTACAGAGAAATTAGCCACATAAGTAGCCTTAGAAAATTTGATAAACTCTGTAGTATATCTTGTTTTACCTGGTCCCAGATGGCTCCCACTCATGTAGCTTTTGACAACATCATCAGAAGGAACCGCAGTTCACTAGGATACTGATTCTAAATATGAAAAAGCTTTTGACAATAAAGTCTTCGAAACCACTTGTTCGTCTTCTTGGAACCGCCGAGTTTAAAAACAGGACGCCCTCGTCTTATTCTTATTTGTTCGGCTTTTTGGCCGAGATCAAAAAATTTCGCCAATTGTCCTGTTCCTGCGCCAGTTGTACGTCCCGAAAGCTAGCTAGTCAAATGTGTTCTAAAATGTTAGAGATTGTATTGTCAATCTATCTTAGCTCACGAGACACAGTGGCCGATAAGTATGCAAGCAAAGGCCCTGCAACAACACTGAAATTTGTACTACCAAAAGCTGAACATAAGGATTGGGCACAAGTAGAATATCGAGTTCACTCTGTCTGTGGCTTGAAACACGGGTAACGGTAACGGGTACCCGGCGCAAGTATTAAATATCTGTTTTTCACCTTTCCGAAAACTCCCGCTACATGGTGGTTTTACCCCTATTTTAAATATCTTTGATAGAACGTTCAGTTAGATATAATGAGATCCACTTATATAGTCGTATGTGGGCGGTATCACGCCCATTTTCCAAAATTCCAAATAATGTTACTTCTTTTCAAGGGATTGTTGTTTGTACCAGTTTTGAGTAAATTAGCGTCCTTAAATTTCGAAATATTGTAGTTTCAAGCATTTCTGAAATTTACCATTGTATGAAAAGTGGCCGATTTCAATAATTTTCAATGGTTTGCTTTTATGTGGCAAGAACAATAACCATACCGAGTTTGGTACAAATTGGTAGAACGGTTACCGAGATACATAGTATGTGTGATCATAAGTGGGCGGTGCCACGCCCATTTTCCAAAATTTTATCATAAACGTATGTCTTGGTAAAGAATTATCGCAAGCATAAATTTTGAATGAATTAGCTTTAATATTTACTGATTTATCGAAGATTTCGTATTTCTCTAAGTTACCGTTATATGGGATGTGGGCTACGTCCAGTTTCCAAAAATTTGTAATGTTCTTATTTTTTGTCTAAAAATCATTGTAAATATCGATTTTGAGTAGTTACTAAAATATCACAGTTTTCGTATTTCTGAAAACTACCGTTATATGGGAGATAGGTAGGATAAGCAAAAAAGAAAAAAAAAAATTCGGACGTACTGCAAACCCCCTGCTACTTGAAATCGGTTAAAAACAGAGGCATTCTGTATTGCCGTGGCGAATGTCACAATCTCCGAGTAAGGAATTTGGTGAAAATTTACTTAGTGAATCTGAACAGTTTTGGTGTTCGGATTTGATATAAAAGAGGGAAGGTTAACGGGCGTGTAGGATAGGAAAATTGCATATTGAGCTTCACTAAAACATTTTCAATTCCAACAAATAAAAAAAAAAAAAAATATTTTGGTTAGCGCAAAATATGTTTTTCTACCACACGTCCGGTTCACTAAACCTAAACAGACGGGAATACAACAACGAAGCGACCATCAATAAAATACTCAAGTACCGATTATACTGATTGTAGCGTGTAAAGTAAAGTATTCAAACCATTCACAAATACTCGTGCTTGTCAGAGGCCTATGAAATAATTAAATAATGTGACACAAAGGTAGCAAATACGATAAATTAAAATAGAACAAATCAACAAAACGGAAGTATAAGTAGATACACGTACCTACATATGTGTGTACATACAAACGTACATATCTGTGTTCGTATGGAAAAGTAGCTTATGTCTAAAGGCTGGCTTTAGTATAAATCGGCATTCGCAGCATACGATTGCGAATAACTCACTGGCGCTGAACCGTTGAACACCTTTGGCAAATAAACGTGCAAGAAATAGTTCCGATACTAGCAAGTCAATTTTCTTACCAAGTTTCATCAAAAAATTCTTTGCCGTTTAAAGAATAAAGGGAATGCCGCATTATACTAAAGCCAGCCTTTCGACATAAGCTACTTTTCCATACGAACACAGATATGTATGAATGCACGTACAGGTATAATAGAGCAAAACTACCCGGCAAGGAAAAAAATGTATATGTTAAGTGAAAAAATTTGGTCAGGACTACTTAGTACTATGGCTGCTTTTGGGGTTTATATTTTATATCTACTTACTTTTCAAAACGATTTTCTTCATCATGTAGATTTTTAAACAGCCGAAAAATCTAGGTCTAATATCTATGTGGCCAAAAATTGATATTCAGATTTTAAATGATAAACATTTTGGTCAGTTTTTATATGAAAAAAATTTATTTATAAAAAATGTTTGATTTACCAAAAATTTATGTCTAGTCTAGAGATGAGCAAAAATTTAATCCAACTTTAACATTACCATAATTTTATGCTCGCTTCTGTAAAAATTTTAAGAAATTAAAAAAAATCGAATCTTCCGCGTTTCAATGTGCTTTAGTTTAGTACACTGTTTATAAGTGACAAAAAGTTGATGTTCACTTTGTAGGTGACCCAAAAATCGACGTGCAGTTTATTTGAAAACAAAATTATTTCAAATTTTCAGATTCCCTATTCCTATATTCTTAGGTTTTATAAATGGTCTAAGATTTATGTATATACATTTAAAATCACCAAAAAGTTCTGTCCAAATTTCAGATTGTGTCACGTTTTAAAATGTATTTCCTTTCTTGAAATTTTTTAACTGGCCAAAATTAGTGACTGCATTACCGATGAAAAGGTATATGTCCATGCTAATTTTGCATTTTTCCTGTATTCTACGCTCTCTGAGTTTTGGTCAGTGTTGTCATCGAAAATTCCCTTGATCCGAGTTAAGTTTGGGAATTAACTCTAGGACTTAATTTGGATCAACTGCACTTAATTCCCGAGATAATTCCGAATTAACGAGTTGATCCGGATCAACACTGCCGTCTGTTTATGCTTTAAGTTTTGGGTAGATTTTTATATCAGAATATTATTTTTGTGAAAAGTGCAGATAGTTAGAGGGTATTGAATATAAGCCCTCAATATGTATTTTCTCTATCTATGTATGTATGATGTGAATATAAAATTTTTTTCAAATGCAGTAATCTGTTAAAGTAAATTTTTTTGATGTTCATGAAAGGTATGAAGCTTTCGGCATAGCTGCAACTTGTTTTGTTTACCTAAATCATCTAGTTTACTTACCTAAATTATTTCTTAACAATACTTGTCAACCGCATTCGCATCCTCATCCACGGATGTTAGCTCTTAGCGGATGTCTAAAATTCCATATTCGCAACAACCCTAATACATGCTTACCTATGCATGCACGTATGTACATGTGTATCTATGCTATATGTATGTACTTATGTGGGCACACTCACCTTTAGCAATTGGGTGAGCTTATTTTGTGTTTTTGTTTTGCACTCACTAATAGAATTCCCTTTATTATTAAGATAAGTAAGGCAAATCTTAACAATGTTGAGTGGCGGTGGCGTGATCGAGCAAACAAAAGTCCAATAGATAAAAGCCAAAAAAACTTAAATATACTCGTACATATGTATGTATGTATGTAAGTAGAAAAAACGCGTTGGTTCTTAGTCATTCATAAAAACGATATATTAAAAATATTTCTTAGTACAAAATACAATTCACAAATACATATGAGTGCTGACTGGTAAAAAATTACAAATACAAAACAAAAATGTTGGCCTTAAATTATGAAGTTAGATTGGCTTGTAAAAGAAACAACAATAAATAGGAAAAAAAGCCTGCTGCTGCTCAACGTAAGCGTTGCTTTGGTCTTTACTGTAAAGTTTTTGTAGATAGTTTCTTATCGGCCAATGATAAGCGCCAAATTGGTGTTGATATCAAAGCTCAGCTACATACATATTACCAAACACAAACATACTCTACGATGCGACAGCGGCTATTATCTCGTAGTTGTAACTTTTCACAATTCATCATCACAAACACTTCTCGACACTCAAATAGATGTCGCTTTTATTAGACAATAACAAGAATTTTCGATCGAATTCAATATTGTCGACAGTCTTTTCGCAAATCTCCACACGATGCGTGCGCAGAAAATGTAATAGGCCAAGTTTAATCTGAAGCTGTGCTATGGTCATACCGATGCAGTTGTGCGGCCCCGCGCCAAACGGCAGATAAGACATAGGCGTTTGCAGTTTGCGATTATCCGGCGTAAAGCGCTGTGGATCGAAACGTTCCGGCTCGGGCCAATACTAAGCGATTGAAATAGAGATAGGCTTCGTTAGTTTGCACATCATGAAAGCTTTCGTATTTGATTAACTCACCTGTGGATCGTGATGTATAGCCAGATTGGAAATATAGACGGGCATACCGCGTCGCACAAAGCATTCGGCGTAAGGGCGCAACGGATAGAAGCGCTTCTTATTGATCGGTGTGCATTCACGCTCCAAAATCGGCACATTCGGATACTTGCGCAGTGTCTCCTCCACCACCATCGTCAGGTACTGCATGCCCATTACCTTATCGTAAGTAATGTCGCTGGGCTGCGCGCCGCCGCCGCCGCCTATGGTTCGTCGTATCTCTGCGCGCAGACGCGCCTGCAGCAGCGGTTGCTTGGCCAGCTCGTAGAGCGCAAAACTCATTGTGGCTGCACAACTTTCGATGCCCGTCAATTCGAACATGGCCGCTTGCGCCACCAAGTAATCTTGCTGATGGGTGAAGTGCGTGTGATCCTGATTGAGTGCTGCTTCCATTTTCAGTGTGAACAACATTTCGATGAGATCATTACGCATCTCACCGTTGCGCTCGCGCTCCTCGATCACCTGCAGCACTGTGCGACGCAAGAATTCCGCGTGTGCAGGTGCGAGTAGATTTCGACGCAGCAGCGATACGAATTTTGGCAGAAAGAATATCACGCACAGATCGATGACGCGCCTGAATGTGAGCGTAAACATTTCACGACAATGGCTTCCCAATTCAGTTTGCTTGTTTCGCAGGCTGTACGAGCGCAGTCCGAACGCGATGCTGGCGATCATATCTGTGTTGTACATATCACAAATCTCCTTGATGTTCACTACAGCATTGCGCCGTTGGTTACCGTTTGCGGTGAGGCGCTTCAGATAAGCCTCGAGATCATAGCCGATCTGTGGGTGAAATAAAAATCGAAAGAAGAAGAAACATGAATAAACTCGATGGACTACTTTGCAAACGCAGTCAATACAGTGTCGAACAAGTGAAAGTACCTCCTCCATGAGTGCAAACATCTGCTTGATCTTACCGCTGGTGAAAGCCGGCGAAAGCCGCGTCCGTATCTCTCGCCATTCTGGATTCCGTACGAAGAATAAACTATTTGCAGCCAACTTATCTACACGTTTGTCACATTTGGAGAAGCGCATGGAGAAGCTGACAAAGTCCTCCACTAATATGAGGCGTACCAGATTCAGGTCGCGTATCAGCAGCGCCGGCTGGTGGAAGAGGTAAATACCCACCACCGGTTCGTGCTTGAAGAGCGGATCAAAGTAGTAGTCGCGCAGCAGTAAAGGGAATGAAGTCTGCTGCCAAAGCACTTCCTTTAGGTTGCCCAGCAGATGTACGGGCTGCACGAATTTAACGCGACGCCGCTGCCAGTAAACATAGGTTCGTCGCGACCAAACGAACACTCCCGTCAGCAGCGTGACGAATACGAGTAGCACGCTGGTGGAGTCTACCATAATTGGAGCACCACTTTGTGATTGAATTCGGTTGAGTTCAATGTTCCCGAACACTTGTTTGTCTTTTAAATTTAATAGCGTTTTTTTTCAGATTATTCAGTATAAATGCAATGTGGGAGTGTATGTGCTTGTAGTTGTTGCTACAGCAGATAATCTACTTATAGTTAATAGTTGAATGCACTTGCGAATGTTCAAAACAAAGCAAAGAACGCCACGCCATGCAACAGTACAACAGCGAATAGCGACGAGATCAACGCGTACCGGCGTTATCAAAACAAAGCAACAGACTAGTTTAGCGCTCTCTAGCAAGCTTAGATAGAAGCGCAGCCGGCGCTCCAATACGGGCCCCATTTTTGGCGTCTCAGTTGATATTCGCGTTGGCAGCGGCGTGGCGTGGCGGCGGCATAGAGTTATTGCGACCTGCTGAGCGCACGATTTTTGCCATGAAAACTTGTTGTTAGGGCGGCGTGGATACGCTCTCTAACCGCACATAAGACAGATTGTTGGCTGGCATTGTAACACTCTACATTCGGCTGATTCAAATGATTCTAATTTTAACAATTTGAAAAATTAAATTTAAAAACAAGGGAATTCCAGACACAATTCAAACATAAATACACTTTTTTTTAGAACATCAAACTTAAGTATGAAATTTAGAATTTTTGAATCACATTTAGTAAATCTTCTATTTAAATATTACAGCCGTTCTATTATTGAACACTTTAATTTTTGCTCAAACTAAATTTTGTGTATTTTAAATGTGGAACTAGCTTTCGTTATAAAATGTGTCTGCAAGCGGGATATTAAAAAAATAAATCTTGTAAAAAAAATTTTTCAAACCTATTTTTAACTAATTGTATGTTCTAAAACTTAAATTTTTTTTTTTTGTTTTTATTTCTTAATTTTAACAAACATTCGATTGATTGTTTTTGTCAAAATATTTATTACCTTTTAAAAAATACATATAACACGTTTAGTAGAACATTTCAAAGTGTGGCGCTTTGCAATAGTCCAAAATTTGTTGTATTATAAATATAAAACGATAATTAAAACTTAAAAAAAAATGGTATTCATAAAAACAAATAAGTTTTTGTTTAAGTTATGAAAAATTTTAAAACTATAACTTTGGACTACTAAGAAGAATTTAAAAAGGAAAGTTAAAATTATAACTAAAGTTTTAGTTATTGAGAAATTATGAAAACTTTCCTCAACCAATTTTTTTATTTTTGTTAGATCTTAGCTTGAAAAAAATAGATACTAAATTTTTCTAATATCACATAAAATTTCGTAAGTCAAAACATTATATAAAAATGTCAAAGGTAAAAAAACAAGAATTTTATTAACCAAACACCAAATTAAGATGTGAACAATCTAGAAATGTGTAAGAATAGCGAGCATTTTAAATTTTTTTTAAGTGTGGTAAAACCATAATTCTTTTTAATTTCACTTTGAAAACTTTGAATTTCATTATAAACAGAGATTGGAAAATTTCTAAATTCCTAAAAATCATTCTAAATGTGTATTTACTTTAAGTATCTATGTCTGTACATTTGAGGGTCCTCTAAAATAACGACAGAAATAATATTTTTCTTTCTGGAGTTGTGTCGTTATTGGCAAGGGCTATCGATATGTGCAATATTTGAAAAAAGTTATGAAGCTTTAGGACCTCATTTTGAAATTTCTATATAAATTCTGTTTTAGATTTTAAAACAATTTTTTTTTAATTCAATTAAGTAACTTTTTAAATTGGAAATAAAAAAAAGTAACTTTTAAAAATCTCATATATTAAGAAAATTGAAGAAAATTTAATTCAACTATTTTATTGAGCTTGTGGTTATTTCTACTGAAAAAAGTGTTGTGGAAAACGGCCTCAAGCTCAATAAAATTGTTGAATATAAGTTTTATAAGGCCATAAATAGCAAACGAAAAAAATGACATAAATTAAAAAATTATTCAAAAGTTAAAAACTTTTAAATTTAAAAATATTGAAATTTTCGAAAACATAATTTTTTCTGATTTAACTATATTTAAATTATTAATTATTTATTTGAATTTAATATGAAAACTGATAGAAGGCAAAAATTATTTTCGACCAGCAGTTAGGGTATTTTTTGTTCTTCTTATTCCAAACTTATGCATATGTATGCGCACTCTCTCAGTACTTGTTATCTGTTTTTCTCGCTCTCTACTAGTTTGTATTTTTATACCCAACACACTCGTAAACCATTATATGTTTCTATTTCGGCCACGTCAGCGTTTTTGTTGATACATATGTATGTACATACGTGAGAGCATAAGTTTAGTATGTACATGTGTGTATGGCAGATATTTACAGTTGAAATACATTGATAAATTTGAAAACTCTGATAATTAAAAATACTAAAGTTATTGAAATAATTTCGAAAGTACCAAATAATTTTTTATGCACTTAGTTAATTGTTACATGATCTTTTTTATTTGATAAATAACATTATTTTTAATGCAAAAATTCTCAGTATTTTTTCAATATTTTTCAAAAATCTTAAGAATTTCGAATTAAAACTTTGCAAAATGATTTTCTAAATTTATTTTATTAGTTAAGACTAAAAAATGGCTTTACATTTAAAAATAAATTTAATTGTATGAAAACCCGTAGCTGCCAAAAGTTTTTTTTTTGAATATTATGTCTTAAATTATATTTTACATAACAATATTTGCTTTTTATTAGATAAATAAAACAGTTAGAATTTTACTGAAAATATTAAAAAAATTTTGAAATGATCTTCAAAAATCAATTCCGAAATTGTTTATTAGCAAAAGAGTTCTAAATATATTTTTAGTTGACTGCCGGTTTTCCAGCAATTTAAATGAAAAATTATTCTTATTCTTTCCAGTTCCAGTTTCAGTTTCCATATTAAAAATAAAAAGAAAAAATAATTTTTCACTTAAATTGCTTTCGCGAAACTGGCTATTAAGTTGAAATGTTTTTTTTAGTTTCAAGTGTTAGTGTCGTTTTCTGAAATAGGTTTTAAAATTTGTATGGCCTTCACACAAATTTCTTCAGAAAAAAATTTGTGTTTAAAGGGCAGATGAATTTTTAAAACCTACTTTAGCAAACTGCCCTTAAACTAAAAAAAAAATATATATATTTTTTTTATTTGCAATTAATAAAAAAAAAAAAAAATTTTGCAAATTAAAATCTGGAATATGAAACCTGTAATAAAAATTCAGCCCTTAAAAATTGTTAACATTTTTTAATTCAAAATTTTTTCTGGCAAAAAAAATCAAAGTTTTTAACAATATAATGTAGAAATGTTTTTTGATATAAAACTTAAACATTAAACTATGTGGTGTTGTTTTGAATATTATTTTCATTCATAAATTGTCCCGCTGCCCTAACACGTGCGCTTGGTTTAGAAACTTTGATTCGACTCGTATGTACATTAGGGTGGTCCAAAAATGCGTGAGAAAAAGTAAAGTCTGAATTTTTATGCTCTCACTCCTAGGATTGTTCTATACCGGAAAAATGTACCACTATTTTTTATTTTGAAGTGAAAAAATATTTACAGGTTGCTCAAAGCGCTCAAAGTTTTCCATGAATTTTGAAAAGGAAAAAACCACTTTTAGTAGAAAGAGTATAGAATTCTAGAAAATCAATATTTTTCGATCGTAAAGCTCTGCTTCTCTTCCAGGTACTCCCATCAATAATACCCAATTTGTTTATTTAACCATCTTTTATAGCAACTATATTTTATAGGTCCGCCAAAAACCGCCAAAAACCATAGAAAATGCAATGGAGGGACCAATAAAAAATCTTTATTATTAAGAAATGGTTCAATAAATAATTGGTTATTATTATTGGAAATCTCCTGAAGAGTACCAGAGTTTTCCTATCAAAAAATATAGATTTTCAAGAACTCTAGCTTACTTTTTGGACCACCCTAATGTATGCATATACATATGTTCCTATCTATGTGGTATATATATGTATGTTTGTATGTACACACGAACGTAGGCATACATATACATACATACGTACGTACATATTTTAGTATTTTAT